GTTTTGTACTTCTAATTAGTGACCATTGTTTTGTTTTGATTTCTCAGCTGCGTTTCTGCGTTTGCCACTTCGGAGCGGCGCAAAGCTGACCTCATACGTCATCCGCCCGGAGCTGCTTCCGTTTACAACAGTGAGCGCAAGCTACATTAAAGTGATTATTACGGTTTGAATATGGATATTTTTCTTACAAAAACGCATCGATTCGCTACAGAAGGCCTTTGTTCATCCCCCGGAGCCGTGTGAGATACTTTTTTTTTTTTTAATGGATGGGCGCTTTTTATTTAACTTGTTTTGCACTGAAGCATGCAACACCCGCTGACTGCAATGATAGAGCTTGAAAGATCAAAGACAATTTTTAATATAACTCCGACTGGATTCGTCTGAAAGAAGAAAGTCGTATACACCTAGGATGACCTGAGGGTGAGTCATTTATGGGCTAATTTTCATTTTTGGGTGAACTAACCCTTTAAGAGCTGCTGCTGCTGAACGTGACACAGATCTGACACGCATCATATTTTCTCATAACTCTTTACCTTTTCTGACCCACCTTAAGTCTTAGAGGCTCTATTAAAGAGCTGACGAATTGAATCGGGTGTGTTAGATGAGGGAGATGGTGCTGCTGCTCCAGGACAGTTTTGAAAACCACTGCATTTCAGAGACATGTTCTCAAATCTGACTCACAAATACTTTAAGGCAGCTTTAATTGCCTTTTTGGTAACTTCATGACTTAACTGATGACATCACTACGACATTGCATGCTCGTAGTTTCTTTTGCGCTTTAATATGATATAGTGCTGAATATGATATAGGTCGTTCTGTGTCTAAATAAAATATATTGCAAACACATTCAAACTTTAGTGTCCAAATGCTTTTGGATGTTGTGACACTTGCTTTGAACAATCATAACAGAAGTTCAAATGTGTAGATTAATGACTTGAAGTCCAAAGTTTGAAATATTTTCATAGACACTTCCGTTCAAAAGTGTGGGGTCGGCAAGATTTATTTTTTGTAATTTCTCTAATATATTGTAAAATGTAATTTATTGCTGTGATCAAATCTGAATTTTCAGCATCATTACTCCAGTCTTCAGTGTCACATGATCCTCCAGAAATCAGTATAATATGCTGATTTGCTGCTCAAGAAACATTTGTGCTGCTTGTGGATACTGATTTTTTTTTCAGGACTCTGGTTCATAACAACAACAACTATCATTTGATTTGTATTTAATTTAAAAGTCTCTCAAGAATCATTTGTGCTGCTTGTGGATACTGATTTTTTTTTTTCAGGACTCTGGTTCATAACAACAACAACTATCATTTGATTTGTATTTAATTTAAAAGTCTTTAGTGTCACTTTTGTTCAATTTAATGCATCTTTGCTGGAAAAAAAATAAAGAACTGACCTCACACTTTTAAACGGTTGTGTAGTTTCATAAAATAATTGAATATATCATGATTCGAGAAAACCGGGAAGGTGTTTTACACACAGGTCAGTTTAAGATGAGTATCTGATATGGGTCACATTTTTAAAAAGTTAAAATGTGACCCATAAAATGTGAGTATGGGCGCTTTGTATTGCGGTGTGAACAGAGTTAAAACGAACAACCCAAATGTGTTTTATAGACGTACCTACTTTAACGTTTTGTTTCTCTCAGCAAGTATCTTTGCTCTCCTGTACATACTGTACATGACCGTCTTCGCCTGAAATGCACAGACTTCCTGATGGTTTTATGTGCTGTTTGGATGATTGCTGAGTTTGTGTTGTGGGCTGTTGTTGTAAGTAGCGTGCTGACATGATTACATGCCCCTCTGTGTGTTTCTGTGCTGTTTCAGTGTGTCTACTCTTGATGATCTGTTATACTGATATGAAGGGTGAAGGTCTTATGTGTGTTAAACTGGGAGAACGACTGTATTTAAATTTTGTAACAAAGAAAATCTGGTTTCAAAGAAGCACTATGAAATATTTCCCACAGTGCCGTGCTCACAGATTCCCGCCCAAGCGTCCGGCAGCCTGACCTGATTTACGATCAACTACTGGAGCTTGGTGGTGATGCACTGTGACGTGAAAAGTGCTTTATTTCACTTTTGTTTATTTCTCTCTTTTTTTTTTTTCCACAGACACTTTGTGTTCTTGTAAAGTATTTTAAGATAAACAGAATTTCATGAGAAGGGATCTTCTAAGTGAATGTGTAATTTATTGTTGGGGTTGGCTTTATTAATAAACCTTTTACTTGAATCATGTTTTATTGAAGTGTTTATTTATTGAGAAATGCAGAGCAAGTCTCTGTGTTGGCCAAGATTATGTTTTAATGAGCCATCTACAAAGTGTTTATAAAGTGGAAGGTTGTCCATTAGCTTTATGCCATTGAATACTTAAAGAAATTTATAGTTTCTCTATAGAGCCGTAAAGACACTGTGGTGTGCATTATGCTCCAACAACTGAAATTTTTTTACCACTGGAGTCTTTAAAATACATTATCACATATAAAAGAAAGCATTTCTTCATTTTTTCTTATATTGTATATATTGTTGATATTATTTCCAGTGTTGCAGGTAACACATTACAAGTAACGCGAGTTACGTAATCAGATTACTTTTTTTCAAGTAACTAGTAAAGTAACGCATTACTTTTTAATTTACAAGAGAATATCTGAGTTACTTTTTCAAAATAGTAACGCAAGTTACTTTTTTTTCCAATTTATTGACTGACAGCTCTCCTGTCCCCATGTTGATAGAAATCAGATGTTACTGTAGTTCTAAAATAAATATGAATATGCATTAATTCAGCTCACTCACAAAAACACAACAAAACACAGATTCAGTATTCCTCAAAATGAATAAAAATAATGCAACTCAGAATATGACGCAAACCTGCAATAATTAAATGTTAAACAACACAAATATCCTTTATGTATTTAATCCCATTCTATTAACCAATGTCTTTGCTTCTGACCTTCGATGAACCAGTTCAAGCGTACTAATAAGCACAAATTACTCTAGACGAACATTTGTGTCTTTTTTTATTGCTGAAGTGTGTTGAAATTTCTTCTTCTGCATTCTACTGTACGGACGTAAATGTACTTTCCCTTCAGCCTGAGGCTTATTCATTTCACTTTTGGTGTGAAAAGGCTTTTATATTTGCCAAAAATATAACTTTTTTATTTTAAAAACAAACAAGCAAGCCCTGTCCAGATTTAAAAAGTAACGCAAAAGTAACATAACATGCATTACTTTTAAAAGTCACTTTCCCCAACACTGATTATTTCTTTTAATTTTACATTTGTAAAATTTGCCAGTTGGTAACTCTGTGGGGAAAAAAAAAAATCTTAAACGTTTTTTTTTTTTTTTAAATATATATATATAATCTCTGTTCATGTCCTCTGAGCACATGCAATAACATTATATATCTCAATGAAGAAAATAATGACAATTTTCATTTTTGGGAGAACTGTTACTTTACAGCTTGGAAATGTTTTATAGAAGGGAAAAGGACCCCAGGGACCCGAACATTAGATCAGAGGAATGAGAAAGCCAATTATTTATGCATTCAAGAAAGAGTTTGGAAGATCCAAGCAAGACGTCACGTCAGCATCGGTGCAATGGAAAGATCCAGATGTAAGTTGACCTGTAAGAATTAAGACTGAAACGGCTGTGTTAAGGGTTGTTTAGGGAGTCAAAAGTCTCTTTACTAAAACCTGTTCCAATTTCTCACAGATAATAATACCGTCACAACATATATAAAAGTGTGATATTGGTATTATATAGAACATTATTGTTTTTCTAACAACAAAAGCAGAAAATGTTGAATCCGTAACCAGCCCATGAGCTACATCAGGTGTCAAACGAAAGAACTACAAATCCTACAATCCTCAGCGGCATCCGGTGATTACCCAGAGTTCCCTGCGACTGGGCAAAATGGCAGCGAATGCAAGCACAGACACAGCTGTCTTCGACTGCCCATCATGGTGAGATGTAAAATAAAGTACAATGTTATTGCACTTAAAAAAAATAACAAAAAGTCCTGCATGCATGTTTGTTGAGCGGATGAATAGATTATGAATGCATGCATAAAAACAATGCATCTCACTCCTGAATGAGGCGGGCACATAAACTCACTCAGCGTGACTGCATTAATAACTCTGTTTTGACTTTATTATTATTCTCATTTATAGTAATAATGCATTTTGTAATGTGATCCAGCGGTGAATACAGTTTACAGGTCTCATCAAATATACAGACCGTTTTGCTGTTATTCCAGTTAAATATTCTCATTTATTATGATCTATATCAAAATCAGAAAGAGCTTTATTGCCAAGTGTGTCAGGAGCTTCCAGAACAGACACGCATATAATTTAAGGTAATGAAACACTAATAATAAAGAGAATAGACTATCAATTATGAATAACAATATAGTAATAAAATATAGAGAACAATAAAATGTCAATAGCTCTAGTCAATCTTACAAATATATGCACACGTGCATTTGTGCATAGAGTAGCCTATATAGAAATGAAACTGTAAATATGAAAGGTTTAGGAGACCGGAGAATGACTGAATTTTGTCACATTGATTGTTATTTTAATTGAATTGAATCTCAGGGCAGGGAAACCTCCACCTGGACTCCATCTGGATGTGGTTAAAGGAGACAGATTAATAGAGGTAAGACTGTGTTAAATGAGCAGTCATTGAAATGATCATTATGATCCATGAACTTTGACCTGGTGCACTTGTTTGCCCTTCATGTGAATATATATATATTCTGAGACGGTAAGTGTTGGTTCCATCGAGCATAGGAAGACCTAGAGATATTTAATACCTGATTGTAGTTGTTATTTCCTAGGCCTGTATAAGTTATAGAAAGAAATAATGTATTAAAAAATAATGTTGTTTTTAGATTTCAATTTGAATGAAATCTTTTAAAAGTTAAAATGAGTATCAGCTCTATTCCATCAGCTAAACATTCCTCTTTGTGCATGCAATCTTTATAATACATTTTTTTTTTAAAGTCATGATAATTCATCGGTTAAAATGTGTGGACAATAAGTCTACTTAAAGGGATAGTTTATCCAAAATTAAAAATTGCTATCGTTAATTCACCCTCAATTCAAAAACAGTAAAACTGACTTTTTTTTCTGTGAAACATAAAATAAGATATTTTGAGAAATATCCATACAATGCAAATAATTGTTTTTGTCCATACAATGGGAATCAATGGGCACCAAAACTGTTCTTTAAAGTGTATTTATTTATTGTTCTACAGAAGAAAGTAAGTCAGTTGGGTTTGTAATGACTTGAGGACGAATAAATGATGATGATTTAATTTTTGGGTGAACTAACAGCCATCTTTGAAATGAAAACTTTCAGTTTTAACACTTACTTGATGATTAATGAAGGTTAATATTGTATGTGTCATATTTAATAATCAGTGTTGGGAAGGTTACTTTGGAAATGTAATAGGTTACAGATTACAAGTTACCCTGTTTAATTCAGTGCAACTATTTCAATTACTTTATTAAAGTAATGTAACTGATTACTTTTTGACTATTGTTCTAAATTTCTAACGAATGTTTTCAACTGTTTATCATTTTGAATCATTTCAAGCAGGCAGGGTTAAGCATACAGTAGTTCACTGATTACTGACAGACTTTCAGAATCCTTCATCACTTGATTTAAGATTATAATCATTTAATTTGAAAGCACAGCCGCCACAAAATCAGACTTTAGCACCTCTTTTTACTTAAAGATCGTTTTGAGGTACAGATTTCAAATCATAAGATATAGTTTAATAGCTATAATACTGTTTTTGAAATCAAATCTTTGTATAGCTTTGACAGGAAACACTGGCATCTAACAGTTAATCGTAAAAAAAACATATACATAAACCCGAATAGGGAATAAAACCGTTATCATATAAACGTGTCCTATTCTGCGTCCTAAACTCTTAAAATTTTAGAGCAGTCAATGCAATTTGGGAAAGAAATCGATTAAATCTGTATGTGGGTATGTGTGTGAAAATATTCAGATGTAACCCCCTTTGTAATATTTAACATTTTCATAAGTAACTATAATTTAATTACATATTTTTTCTCAGTAACTGTAACAGTTACATTTAGTTACAGTTACATTCCGTTACATGTAACTAGTTACTCCCCAACACTGTTAATAACCCATATTACACCCTCGTCTTGTCACCTGCAGAAGCTGATCATCGATGAGAAGAAGTTCTATCTGTTTGGGAGGAACCCTGAGCACTGTGACTTCACGGTAGACCACCAGTCGTGCTCGCGTGTGCATGCGGCGCTGCTCTACCACAGACACCTCAAGAGAGTGTTCCTCATCGACCTCAACAGCAGTGAGTGCGGCTCCACAGAGCTCTTCAACAAATCACATCCAACAGACTCTGAATGGTTTTGCTCTCATCTCATCTTGATTTCTCCTTGTTTAGCCCATGGCACATTTCTGGGCAGAATTCGCCTCGAGCCCCACAAACCTCAGCAGGTGCCGATCGACTCGACCATGTCATTCGGAGCGTCCACACGCGAGTACACGCTGAGAGAGAAACCGCAGACGCAGAGCAGCTCCAGCACAGGAGACAGCAAAGGAGTGGAGGACGAGGAACTAAAGGGGCTGCTGGGACTGCCGGAGGAAGAGACCGAGCTCGAGGTGTGTGTGTGCGTGCGTGTGTTGAGTGTGTGTGTGTGTGAATAAATGTCTCATACAACTGTGTAAATGATAGCTGCTCTTCAGTGTAACCAGCTGAACCAGAGTCAGACTGTTACTAATTACTTTTTCTAGTTTGAAATTTGATTATTTTCCAAAATGTGCAAAACAAGGAAAGAATGGCTGCAATGAAATATTGAAATGAAATCAAAATTGCAAAGACTGTTTTTTTTTAATTATATGCACTGCACGTCAACACAATAATTCTAAAATTATTAATTCTTTCCAAATAGAGCTATTCAGGGAGTATGAAATGTATTTTATTCTTATCGTAATATATGTCACAATGCATAAAAGCCAGAGTCAAACAGTGTATCAATTTGTTTTGATGTGTTATTGCATGTTAAATATAAATGTGCTTAATTGAAATTGTGTATTTAACATATGTCATGCAAAATATGGCTTTTTTCCAGAACCTGACAGAGTTCAACACGGCTCATAACAAACGCATTTCTACACTTACCATCGAGGAGGGAAACCTGGAAATCCAGAGACCCAAGAGGAAGAGGAGGAGCTCACGGGTTTCCTTCAGTGAAGAAGAGGAGATCATAAACCCAGGTACACAAACACACACTCACGGGATGGGAATATATATGTACTCCACTGTTCAGTTTGGGCTCAGTAAGATGCTTTTGAAAATAAATTAATACTTTTATTCAGCAAGGACACATTAAATTGATCAAAAGTGACAGTAAAGACATTTATAGTGTTACAAAATATTTCTATTTCAAATAAACGCTGTTCTTTTGAACTTTCTATGCGTCAAAGAATCCTGAAAAATAAAATGTACCACAGTTTCCACAAAAATATGAAGCAGCACAACATTGATAATAATCAGAAATGAGCAGCAAATCAGCATATTATATAGTAATGATGCTGAAAGTACAGCTTTGATCACAGAAATAAATTACATTTTACAATATATTACAATAGAAAACAGTTATTTTAAAAAGCAATAATATTTCATAATATTACTGTTTTTACAGAATTTTTAATCAAATAAATGCAGCTGTGGTGAGCAGAAGAGACTTATTAAAAAATATATATTATTGACCCCAAAAGTGTGCAGTATTCAGTGCACTCATATTCCATTCTGACAACGTCTTTGTTTTCCACTCTCACTGTTTTCTGTTTCTCTGGAAGGGCTCAATCTTCACACTCTTTTCTCTTATTCTTTGTTCGTGTTTTGACCTTTGTTACAAATCTTTCCTCACAGAGGACGTGGACCCGTCTGTCGGACGCTTCAGAAACATGGTGCAGACGGCTGTGGTTCCTATTAAGGTACGATCATCAGCCTGCACTTTTCTGCTGCTCTGCTTGCTTGTTTCAGCACGTGTTCATTGATTTGAATGGATTTGAGAACAGCCCTTCTCTCAATACAATTTAAGTTGTTTGTTGCATGGCTCACAAACAGGAAACTGTATAATGTGGGAGTAATGGCTTCTAAAAAGCATCCTCATAGTCTGACTCGTCATATCTGACTGCTAATGTAAAGGAGCTTCGATGTCTTTAGTACTCCGTCTTAGGGCTTGGCGATATAGCTAATAAATGTATCAACGATATAATGTTTCATATCGTTCGGTATCGATAATTATTGACATTTTTTTATAACCTTTTTTAAAACAAAGAGCAATAGAAAAAAACTTTTAAATTTAACCACTGTATTTTTAAACTAACCCAATTTATTGAGACAAACAACAAATATTTTTTGTTTTAACAGTCAAACACACAATAAAAATTAAACAAATATCTCATTTCTAATCTTTTATATGCAGATTAAATAGGTCTGAAGGAAACTTTTGGCTTGTCTCCCGAAGCCACAGGAGGGCGCAATGAGCAAAATAATGCAGCACATTTAAATTGTCAACGCAAGGAAATAACTGTCTATAAAAAGAAAAACGTGCATTATGTCTAAATTAACTCATATAAATCTAACATAATTTCGTAAATTGCATAAACAATTACGAACAAAACAGCATCATGTATTTATGCATTGCTGAATCCAAAGAGCCGAATCGCCCATCACGCAGATTGCATTTAAAAACATAAGAGCAGTGAAAAGCAATAAACCTTTTAAATAAAACTTTTCTAAAAGTTTAAACTGTTTTAACTTTGCATGGCTACATCTCTTGTGTGAGACGCGAGTGCAGCAGTCATATTTGTCCGTCTAAAAAATGCGCTGAATATGC